ACTTTCGGTGAAGTAATGAATACAACAATTGAATTAATGACAAGAATTTAATTCTACGCAACGTTTTCAACGCCAATACAGACACACACTATATATATCTCAGCGTTTGGGACGACGGGGTCGGGTGTGGTGGACGCCTAATAGCCTATCGATTGATTGACGCCATTAACCAATTTAGAGGTCACGACCCCGTCCTCCGTTATGGTCACCGTCTCCTTCCCGTTCTCCATCACTCTGTTTGGGGGCAAAAAGTAACACATTTTTAGTCATTTTAATCAATTAACACAAATGGTTATCACTTAATAGGCAATCAAATGTTCTAAATATCTATTATTTACTTTAAAAAATCATTACATTTTATGATTTCATCGAAATGTCTAATGACATATAAAATAATGACTATATTTAGCGCTCAAGTCGTCTCCACAATAATAATAAACTAATCTATAAATCGATTACAGAAGTCATAAGTCAATTGCTACGGAAATCTAGAAATTTTCTCTAATCATTACAAAACACACAAACTTTTTTAAAACTCATTACCATTATTGCAGTACAACTATAGCAATGCAATCGGAGTTTAATGATTTTTAGATTATAATAAAATGCAAAACTATTTTTCATATCCTCTATAAAAACCCCAATTAAAAAGTCTACATTCAATGGTTTCCCAAAACAAATAGGGTTTCAATTTAAATCAATTTGCGTTAACAAACTGCGAGTCTATTCTAGTGCCTCAACATAACCGTATGTTTTCATAAAAATTGTGTCAATTTTTTATCTCTGATACAAAGCAACGCATAAATTGTAAGCTATTATTAACTATTGTATGCCATGTATTATGTAATTTGCGATTAAAATTCAAACAAATACTGGTTTTTCAAAAACGAGATGACATTTCAATAGTTTATGTGTTAAGCAAATCTACGCTTGTTTTGACTGTCAATACAGGAAATCACTGGAAAAATACTATACAATGAAAACAAAAAATCAGTAAAAACCGCAAAATCAGTGCAAAATAAATAGCAAATTATGACTATTATCTTAAAGACAGCATTTTTCAATGCATAAGTCATCGCAAAAACAAAACAAATCACAGCATAGAAACACAGCAAACATTGCGCGCACAATAGCCATCGGCGGTAACAGTGGACTCACTTTCTGGTCTCCACGCGCTTCCCATTCACGTATTTGGTGGAAGTGGTGGTGCGCTTGACGTTGGGTCTGTTGCCGAGATCATTAAAAGTGCTGAATGTGGTGAACGTGGACGACTGGTCGCCCCAGAGGTGATCATTCATGTGATCCATGGACCCTAAGCCGAACTGCGCGAACGGGTTGAACGCAAACTGCATATTGTTTTGCCGATTCATTGCCGACGTGTGGTTCGTGTGAGCGGAGGGTCGGCCGCCGCCGCCAAAGAGGTCACTGAACGGATCCGAACCGAAAAAGTCCCGAAACACATCCTCCGGGTCTCTGAACGTGAAGAACGCTTGGAACGGGTGTCCGGGGAAACTGTTGGCGAACATGTCGGGCCCCGTGTGGTGGTGGTAGTGGTGATGATGGGCGGAGCCGCCGTTCATAAGGCCTTCCTTTCCGTATTTGTCATATATTTTGCGCTTTTTGTCTGCAATAAAATGAAGTCAATGAGTGATGCGGTCGTCAAACGAGTGGATCAGCTCTCATGAAGACATACCGTCGGACAGGACTTCGTAGGCTTCGGACAGCTCTTTGAAACGGCGGTCGGCCTCCTCTTTGCGGTCGGGGTTCTTGTCCGGGTGCCACTTGAGCGCCAGTTTCCGATATCTGTGCCCATCATCGGTGGTCAGCACGAGTTTTGGGATCAATTCAGTGACAGTTCAGTCATCATAGAGATCATAGATATAGCAAAAAACTTACGCCTTTTTGATATCATTTGTGTCGGCATTTCGTGGCACTTCCAGCACTTTATAGTAGTCAACCATCGTGTGCGAGTGTCTTGAGATAATCAGTGGTTATTATCACAGAAATGGGCGTAAGTGTAGCCTTCGTGGGTCCAGTGAATCGCGTCGATCACCAAATGGACGGACAGATTGGCAGCAAAACAGTCACTGTTTTGGTGGCAAACAAACGTCTAATCAACTGTCAAACGAGTGTCACGTATGTGTGTGTGAGTCACGCACTCACGCGCCGCAGTCACGCAAACAAAACTGCAATAGATTTGTGTGGAAATGAAATGAGATTTAAAACTAAACGCAAATTAAATGTCAATTCAATTGTTGATCACTGTTTGCAAATACAGCAGTCATTTTGATTACG